CCAAAATCAAGGGAAACATGTTTTATAGCACTTACAAAGCCATTCACGCACTCTTCCAAAACCAGTTCCTTCTACTTAAATTTTCAAGCAGCTACTATGTCCTTCTTTCTGGCATTCCCTTCCTCGGTGCTGTGAACGCCCAACCCATTCACAGAAGCCCAAACAAACCCTGCTGACGTGTCCCACTGCCTCTCCAAGCTTTGACTTTCCTCCACCACTCTCCTAGGTCAGCACTTAGGACCACCTCAATTGTTTCAACAACCTATCTCTCCTCTCTTCTTCTAAACAATCTTCCTAAAACAAAGAACTACTGAATAAAGCCCCAACTTCTTAGGATGGAGTTTTTAAAAAAAAACAGGCCCTAGCCAATGTGACTCAGTGATTACAGTGCCAGCCCATGCACCAATCAATGTCTCTTCTCTCACATGGATGTTTCTCTCTTTCTCTCTCTCTCTCCCTTCCCTCCCTCCCACTCTCTCTAAAAATCAATGGAAAAATATATCAAGTGAGGATTAACAATAACAAAAAAATTTTCTAGGGCCCAAGTCTACATAATCTCAACTTCTATGAAATCTCTCAGACTCTATTCCTTCACTCAGAAACACTCCTTGATTTTCCAAATTCCTCCCACCCTTCAAGACCCAATCCTAACCCCTCCTTTCTCAAAGCTTGCCTGTGCTCTTTTTAAAGCTTTTTTTTAAAAAAAATTGATTCTAGAAAGAGGAAAAGGGAGAGGAACAATAGATTGCCTCCTGAACGCATCACAACTGGGGATCGAACCTGCCACTTTTGGGGGGGTTTTTTGGTTTATTGTTTTTTTAAATATATTTTATTGATTTTTTACAGAGAGGAAGGGAGAGGGATAGTCAGAAACATCGATCAGCTGCCTCCTGCACACTCCCTACTGGGGATGTGCCCGCAACTAAGGTACATGCCCTTGACCGGAATCGAACCTGGGACCCTTCAGTCCGCAGGCCGATGCCCTATCCACTGAGGCAAACTAGTTAGGGCAAACCTGCCACTTTTTGGGGTTCAGGACATTCCAATCAACTGAGCCACCAGCCATGGCTTTCCTGTGCTTTTCTCTTCACAATTCAGGTGGTCCCATGACTCCCCAGTGCACAGCCCACACTCAGCCTTGTGTTTAACCAGTCCATATCTTTTAGCAGCTAATTAACCATGACAGGGACAATTTTATTTTCAAACTCCACAGCAGCCTGTACAATAAGCATGTCAAACTCGCGGCCCACGAATATTTTTGCAGCCCAGCCAATATACTGGTAAGATGCATTTTAATAAAAATTTCATAACTTAATTTTTACAATATCCTGTTATACATAATCCTATATAATAAAAGGCTAATATGCAAATTGACTGAACAGCAGAACAGCTGATCACTATGACACACACTGACCACCAGGGGGTAGACACTCAACACAGGAACTGCCCCCTGGTGGTCAGTGCGCTCCCACAGGGGGAGCACCTCTCAGCCAGAAGCCTGGCTCACGACTGGCAAGTGCAGCAATGGTGGCGGAAGCCTCTCCCACCTCCGCAGCAGTACTAAGGATATCCAACTGATGATTTAGGCCCGCTCCCCGAGGGCTCCTGGACTGCGAGAGGGTGCAGGCCAGGCTGAAGGACTCCCCCCTGCCCCAGAGTGCATGAATTGCATGCACTTGGCCTCTAGTTATTAATAACGAAATACAACGTTCGCTAATGACTACTATAATCGTGTTGCATTCATTTCCCTTACATGCCTTACTCGTGGGCGCACCATTTCTCTCCACTAATACTAGCAGCGAATATTTTAGCAGCTGATTGTCATGTCATTAGTCTTGTACTGACTTGTTTGGTGTGCGCAACAGGAAATATTTCGCTTTCAGAGAACAAGAAAAATAGGTTTATTTGCGCCACGTTTATCAATTTGTGCAGTTATTCAGTGTCTGGTAAGTTAATGTTCAAGAAAAAAATATTAATTTTTATTAAAATGTTCTATTAGTTTGTGTTAATGATTACTCATTTATTTCAGCCCTTTGTATTCAGCATGTCTCTATGGAAATAAACCTACGTTTCCATGAAAATTGAAGCTTTTTTTTTATTGCGGCCCACATAAAACTTAAATCTTATTTGGCCCTTGTTAGCCTTTGATTTGACATGCTTGCCCACCAGGCCCCCCCAAGATGGCCACCAAGCCTCCACGATGACTGCTAGTGGCCCAGAAGACCACCCTTCTCCTACCACACAATCAAAGCAGACAGAGAAACTGTATCAGAGGTGCCTGAACCTCTGGCAGTGCAAGAGAATCACAGTAGATAGTTTTGAAATACAAAAAATACCTATTTTGGGGCCTTGCTCTAACCTTATTAACCTAAAAATCACACAGGATGTATAATTTTCAGTTTCCCACGTGACTCTGCTGCACAGCCAGGTGTGGGAAGCAGGTCTGCAGAACGAAGAGCAAAGCATGAAGACTCTTACCTGATACAACCATCAAAGGAGCCTGGTTTGAAGGGAATGCCCTGGCCCATGTCCCCCAGAAGTAGGTCTCCTTGTGCTTCTCGGTCCAAAGCTGCATCTGCATCGCAGAAGAGCAAGTGAGGGAAACAGACAATATGCATAGCTGCTCCACACTCGTGAGGGTAGCCACCCCAGTGCTAAACAGAACATACTTACCCAGCATGGCAAGGCTGATGTCGATGCCCACCCAATAGTGCCCCTCATCAGAGAGATAATCTCCACTCAGCCCAGTACCGCAGCTGGAAGACACAAGCAGGGACTCAACAGTGTGAGTAGCAAAGATGCCCCACAACCTGGGGAATCTGACTGGGCCCCAGGATCTCACCCAATATCCAACAGGAAACAGGGCTTCTCATCAGGCAGATCAAGGAGCTCCAATGCTCGCCCAGTCATCTTGGTCTGCACATCAATCATCCTAGAGCTAGGAAGGCAGAAATAGAAACAAGTGGTAAGGTTCTGAGCTAAAACTGTACCCAGACCAAAAAAACCCAAGATCTTCTAGGAAAAAAGAACAAGGTGCTCTTTCCTGGTCAACAAACTCAACTACAACTATTTAATATATATTTTTTTTATTGATTTCAGAGAAGAAAGGAGAAGGGGAGAGAGAGAGAAACATCAATGATGAGAGAGAATCATTGATCGGCTGCCTCCTACACACCACACCCCCTACTGGGGATGGAGCCCGAAACCCAGGCATGTGCACTGACCAGGAATCGAACCTGGGACCCTGCAGTCTGCAGGCCAATGCTCTATCCATTGAGCCAAACTGGACAGGGCTCAATTACAACTATTTAAAAGTAACCCCAATAACAGCAACATGTTATTTTGTTGTGGCACAAATTATAACTGCACCTGATGCAAAGCTAAAGGGAACAAATCACTTAACTAATGACCAACCATTGGGTATTTTCAAATCTATCAGGCTTTGATGTAGTTTTATTTAAGAACAAGTTTTTTGGCTCGGCTGGCGTGACTCAGTGGTTGAGCATCGACCTATGAATCAGGAGGTCATGGGTTCAATTCCCATCAGGGCACATGCCTGGGTTGCAGGCTTGATCCCCAGTGGTCGGCACGCAGGAGGCGGCCAATCAATGATTCTCTCTCATCATTAATGTTTCTCTCTCTCTCTCCCTTCCTCTCTGAAATCAATGAAAAAATATTTTTTTTTAAAAAAAGAGAGAACCAGTTTTCTGGAAGAATTATCCACCATAGTGACTCTCAGATATCAGGATCAAGAATCACAACAAAAATCTACAGCAGTGCTGTCCAGGAGAATCATAATACAAGCCACATGACTTTCCAGTGGCCACAGTTAAAATGAAATTAAATATGTAAAATTAACTAATAATTAACCAAATCCAATGTACCTAATAATTTTAACACGTTAAGCGCCCAGCCTGTTCTGTCTTCCGGAGGGAAAGTATAGTGTCAGTCACCAGTGACTGACAGGGCGCTTAACATGTTAACCCAACATGCTCAAATTATTTCAACACGTAATCAACATAAAAATGATCAATAAAATATTTTATATTTTCTTCATGCTAAGTAATTCAGACACTGATGGCTACGGGTTACCGTAGCACAGAATAGGTCTATATTATATCTGGCTTTCCCAAGATCAGGTATCTGCGGACTCTTCTACAGGCTGGTTTATCAGAAAGGACAGGTCTGGAAGTCTGTTCTAGCCTTCACCTAGTTACAGAAATAACTACCCTCCATGAAATTCAGATACTACACCAACAGCTGTCGAGAGGATTTAGCGAGGTTATGCAAATAGGGACACCCAGTAAACATTTATGAACATTTCCTTTCCCCCAATAGCATTAACCACTTACACATATCCACTGCCTCCTGCCTATTTTACTACATGTGTAAAACAAGTTGCCACAATAAACTGAAAACCCAGATAAAAATCACTCCCGTATTAATGCTGCGGTAACTGAGGCCCAGAGGGTTCAGAGATTTAACTAAAGCTGACTTGGCCAGTGTAAAAAATGGGATCAACCCAGGTCCCTTCCTCCCACCCCAACCGCCCCAAATTCTTCACGTTCTCCAAGCAATGCCCCAAATGAGGGCAACTTGCGGGTCCCCACCCCCGACGCCGCGCAATAGCCAGGCTGCCTTACTTGCGCATGTATTTCCGGGCTTCATTCTGGTCGTAAAACTGCGGGAAAAGAGAAAGAGAAAAGGGTAGTAAGGGGGAGAAATCGAAACGCCGAGCTTCTCTAAGACAGAAGGGCGCCCGAGGGCTTCAGGGCTCACCAGCTCCGGGGGTCCGCCGTGCTCCGGTCGGCGCCCACGACACGCCATACCCACGCCACCACCGCACGACCGCTGCTGGGGGCTCCCGAGTCCGGAGTGTAGAGCATCAGCGCCGCGCCTGCCCCGCAATACGCATGCTCCACTCCTCTCCCCGCCTCCTCTTCTACGCGATTGGCTACCAGGATGACGCTCGGCGAACAACGCGGGCCTCCCATTGGCCAGGTGACCTTTGCACCGCCCTCCAGACCCATGCAAGATGGCAGCGCGACACGATCCAAGGTGGCCGCGCTTGTTACTGTGGAGCTTGTGGCGGGGTCGGGGGCCCCCGCAAAGCCGGGTGTCCTGCCACGGCTTAGAAGCGAGGACTTACTCCCGGGGCGACGGCCCGTACTCGCGCACGGCGCTGTATGAGCTGCTCGGCGTCCCGCCCACGGCGACGCAGGCGCAAATCAAGGCCGCCTACTACCGGCAAAGCTTCCTCTACCACCCGGACCGCAACGCGGGGAGCGCCGAGGCCGCCGAGCGCTTCACGCGTATCTCCCAGGCCTACGTGGTGCTGGGCAGCGCCACCCTGCGCCGCAAGTATGACCGCGGCCTGCTCAGCGACATGGACCTGCGCGGACCTGGCGTCCGGCCCTCCGCGGCGCCCTCCGCGGACTCCGGCCCGGCCCGCACCCCGTCGCCCGCCTCTCGCGCCCACAGCTCGGGTCAGGCCGCGCCGGGGGCCGGCCGCACGATGTTCAACTTCGACGCCTTCTACCAGGCGCACTACGGGGAGCAGCTGGAGCGGGAGCGCCGCCTGCGGGCCCGGCGGGAGGCCCTGCGCAAGCAGCAGGAGGATCGGGCCAAGAAGGGCTTGGGCTGGGACGAGATCCGAGACACGACTTTAGTCGTCTTTCTCCTCGCCGTCTTCATCGTCATAGGCATTCGTTCTTAATCGCGGGAGAAGGCGAGGGGAGCAGCCCCCCAGCCCGACCCCAGAAAACGGCCTTTCCCGTCTTGAACCCTTCGCTTTCCACAGTCTACCTCTGCTGGGGTCCGAAGGAACCGCTCTCCCCCTTCGCTTCCCCGCTCGCCCAGCTTGGCCTCTGACCCGCACCTCCTCTTCCCTGCGGTCCAGGAAAAGGAGGCTTTTCGGTGCCCGAGAAGGAGACCCCTATGTGGACAGCCCTGAAGGCCGGAGAGTGAAGAGTTTCCTGGAGTCCCCTGGGTGCCTGCTTCCAGGGGTTGCCTTCCGGAGGTTGTCAACTTCTGGAACACTGGGCTCTGGCTTTATTGTCGAGCTCTGAGCAAAGAAATGTCTGCTCCGGCCCCGTGTTTGTGCCATGGAGCTCTGTAACCTTGAAACGTGCAATGTGGCCAGTTGTTAGCGGCCAAAAGAAAAATTCTGAGGTGTGTAACCTTGTCTTTCTGTGAGTTCCCCAAGCCACAGGTGAGACCCGACACAGGCTACACATGTGATATATAGAAACCTTGCGATGGTCAGCCCCAAACCCCTCTCCCCCTTCGGCTGCTGGCATGAGGGAGTCGGGAAAGGCAAGGTCGTGGAGCATAAAGAATGAGTGTTCCTGAGCCCATACTTACCATATGACCTTGAAGAAAGTTACTCTGTGGACATGACGGCAGGGAGCAAACCATTTGCTCTCTTGAGGTTTGTCACACTTTTATTGTCCACAGTTGGAATGGGCTCAATGGTTAAAACATGCTAGTAGAGTCAGGTTTATCCCTGGGATAGTGGACCTGTCGCCTGGTTATCCCTGTACCAGCTGGCCCTGTCCCCAACAGTGCAGCCAGTCCTCTCCCAGAAACAGCTCCTCTCAGTGTGGCCCCTCCTGTTTGTCTTGAGTGCTTATTGCAGGCGGTGCAGGCCAAGTCCCGGAAACATGGTTGCTTGAGGCTGTGGGGAATTTTGGGAGTGCGGAGTTGGTGGGACTGCTGAGGACGAGGAGGCCTGTGGTGGAAACCCCTGGTTTAGAACTGCCTGAGGCTTTTTTCCGCTTCTAATTTGTGCTCAGCCCTTGGTCAGTCCTCACTTGGCTAGAGCAGTGGTAGTCAGGCTCTCACCCCTGAGTCACTGCACATGGGGAGTGCATGGCTGTGCGATTGTCAGTGCTCGGAGATTGACGCACTGGGGCTGCGTGTAAAGCTGTGGGATAGGAAAACCTTTGCAAGAGATCTACCACAAGGGCACAGGCCTAAGTCTAGAGTCTAAACAAAGCCAGAGGTGCTTTGGTATAGTAATACCAGTTCCTGTGTGAAATCCTTGTATAAATTGGGATCAAACCATAGCTAGTTCACCTTGGGCTCTCCGATTCTCTCTAGCCTTAGATGTCGGGGGACAAGCCCTTAATCATGGCTTTGCAGTGACCACACACGGTTCAGTAGTAAAGATTTGAGCCCACCCTGATTCAGGCCCACTGTGCTCAGTGAGCCTTGATCTGGGGGTGGGGCATACGTACTTTGAAAAAGAACATTTAATGTTATTATGTTTCATATTTGAAAAACAAGAGGGAGAGTGTTCTCTTTTTTTGGTAAAGAGTTGTGAATTTATTAGGTCAATCTGGAAAACCAGGTGGGCTGAGCCCCAAAATGGCGCCAGCTGAGTGTTCTTTTTGAAATATAAACTACAATAAGTGAAGCTTAGTAAAATATGCAGAAACTAGTGATTCCCAACCAAAGAGTTGGGGCATAACAGCGTCCTTTGGGCAAGATTCTATCAGAAGGAGTTGGAGTTCTTTTGGGCCTTGTTTGTGAAAGCACTAGTGGTCTGTAACAGCTGGGACCTTTTGCATGGGCTCCTTGACATAGACCTTTCAAGTTTGTTTTCTTTCTGTGAAGATCACAATCCAGAACATTTCCTGGGGCCCCAGAACATGGAAATACATAGATAAAAAGCTCAAGGAGGTTTCAGGTGTGTGTGTGGGGGGGGGGGGGGTGTTCAGGCAATATGAAACTTTTGGAACATTCCAGAATATATATTTCATGCAGGGTAGTCAATAAAATTTTTAACCATCTAACTCAGTTTCTCCTTAGGCCTGTAACTAGAGTGCCATTCTGCTTGCCTCAGGGATTTTTAGGCCAGGTTTGAACTCCGTAAGACCCCACTCCCTACCCTCCCTAAACTGAGTCTGAGCTTTTCATGGAAGGAGAGATGTGTGGGAGGCTTTTTGAGGGCCCCTCCAATGTTATCTTGTCCCCATAGTAACATTTCTCCCTTCCTACCTTGAGGAGAAGAGGCTGAACCAGGCTGAGGACATTAGCTGCCTTCTAGGCACTGTTCCCCAATTCCTGATCGTAGAGGACAGCTCAGACATGCTCAGCTTTAGTCCATTTTTGACAGGAGATGGACAAGAGGGGCCCAGCTTGTCCCAGGCTATGCTTATGGGGTGGGAATAAGGTTGCAAGTATAGTACAAAGTTGAGTGAGCAGCACACAGTTCCTAAACAGGGAGACTCAGACAGGACAGGATCAAAGGTGTACATGTCTAGGCAAGTGTCTTTGGACCTGATCAGGACTTTATTTCCCCTAAGCCAAACTGCTTTTCCCTCTGTTGCCCTTTATTTGTTGCCGGGTGAAATCCTTTACTCATCCCAGTGCTGAGAGAGTAGGATTTCTTGCTTCCTTCTGAGGTTCTAAGCATTTGGTTCACAGGATGTACCTTACCTACTATAATGGTTCTAGCATGAGCCAAAATGTATAAGAATAGCCTGCCTAAAGCCAGTGCATTGTCCATTTAGTCATTATTAACTCCACATACATATAAAACCATATGTACAGTGTGTGTGTGTGTGTGTAATAGCCTGAGGCTGAGGCAGCAAGGGTGGAGCCCAAATGAGTGGCCATCACATTCCCTTTTCGGAAAATCGTGAGGGTAGGAGACTGTGTCTTGGACCTTTGGGCTTCCTGGAAGGTCACCAGATCCCATGAAGAGAGGCTGAGAGAATGGACAACTGGTAAGTGGTGGTGCTACTTGAATTCACTCTCTCTTGAATTCAGTGCATGGGAAAAGTGGGCTCTCTCCTGGCCTTTGCCTCCTCCCAGCTCTCCGCCCTATGATGAGATCACACACTGCCACCCGACTATGGTCAGGATCCTAGGAGAAGGCTGGCCTTGCCTGCCCTCAGGCCATGCTTGTAGCCCTGGCAGCCATAGGGGTTGAGCAGAGAACTGAGGGTCCCTCTGTGTTAAGGACCTGCGTTTGGACTACATGAACTTGCATATGCTGAGAACACTCTGCACTCATCCCCAAGAAGCCAGTGCAGAGTGCACCATGCATCATGAAGTCATAGTGTCACTATGCATCTAGCCATCATGCCGCTCTCTCTTAAGGCCATCTGAACCTGAGGTCCTGACACTCACTAGTCTTGAGGTAGGTTGGCCCTCCCATCCTGCCTTTGCTTCTTCAGCATTCATATTTTCAGTTCTGGAGGGCACTGCTACTAGACAAAAGAAGGCCTGCTTCAGAATGACCAAGAACAGACCAAGATTCATGGTTCACACAGTGTTTGGCTGTGGCTGGCATAGTGTCTTAAAATAACTAGCCAACATTCATAATGGGGCTTTGCATGAAAATCTAGATTTCTGACTTCTCTCAAAAAATTATGCCACAATTGAGCTCAGATAACCACGTTAGTGCCTGGGAGAAGCTGTGACATCTGCCTTTGAGATAAGATATTTCTCTACATTTCACTGCACTCCCACCATCAGAGGGAAAGTATGCAAGGCCTTAATACTTTCACCATTTTGCCCACAGTAGGGAAATATCTCTATCCCATATCAAGAGGAGAAATTTTTTAAAAGGACTGTACATTTCCGGAAAAGATGGGAGAGGGTGTATTTCTTTGTGGGAATGAAATGCTTTGCACCTCTGTGATTTTCCTGGCCTCCACAGGCATTTGAGTTTACAGCATAGGTAAGAGCTTACACTTTATGCGGGAGGCAGAGTGTAAATCTTATTTTCATGTTGGACAAGAAGAATCTTTGAAGAGGTCTACCGCAGTGGTAAGGTCCCAGACCAGTGATGGCGAACCTTTTGAGCTCGGCGTGTCAGCATTTTGAAAAACCCTAACTTTGGTGCCGTGTCACATATAGAAATTTTTTGATATTTGCAACCATAGTAAAACAAAGACTTATATTTTTGATATTTATTTTATATATTTAAATGCCATTTAACAAAGAAAAATCAACCAAAAAAATGAGTTCGCGTGTCACCTCTGACGCGTGTCATAGGTTCGCCATCACTGTCCTAGACAAAGCCAGAGGTCCTCCCTCTGCAGAGTGCTATAACCCCAATTCCTACACTCAGTCTTTTATGTACAATCTTTATATAAATTGGGATAAGCCCACAGCTAATCCACCTTGGTTCTTGGGAACCACTCAGTTCTCTAACCTTGGAGGTGAGGGGCAAGTTCCTAGTTGTGGTTTTGCAGTGACCACATGATTCAATGGTAAAGAGTTGAGCCCACTCTGGTTCAGGCCTGCATACGTCAGTAAGCCTTGATTGGCAACAAAACAAAACAAAAACACATTTAATGTTATGTTTTGTATTTGGAAAACAAGGGGAGAAGCTTAAGGAAATATGCAGGAGCTAGTGATACCTAAACAAGGAGGTGCACATAACAGACTTTCTTGAGAGGTAGGAACTCTTTTTATCAAAAAGGGATGGGAGTTTTGTTATTTGGACAACTGTTTGCTTTTGGTTTGTAAAAGCTCTGTTGGTCGATAATAGGTGGTTCCTTACTCCTGGGCTCCTTGATGTAGACCCTTAAGTTTGTTCTCTCTCTCACAGAGGATTATAGCCAGGAATATTCGCTGGAGCCCCAGAATCTGGGAACAAAGTTCCAGAGGGTTTCAATTAGAAAGAGAGCCCTGCCTGCAACCTTCCAGAACATTCCATGTATTTTCCAGCAAGGAAGTTAATGCAACTTATTAACCCTCCAATTCTAACCCTTTCCCATGGCCCCAAACCCGGCCCACTCCACTCTGGCGATATCTGTACCCATCTGCCTTGGTCTTTTTCAGGCTGGGGCTGAACGCTGAGGGACCTCAGTCCCCACGCCCTGTAAAGCAGTCTGAGCTCTCTGATGTAGGTGAGGCCTTTGAAGGACCCCGTACAGTCCCATGGAAACACTTCTCTCTCCCCTTCTGTCCCTCCACTGCTTGCGTCGTTCCTTTCTCTTCTTACTTGCCCTGGGGAGGGGAGGCTGAACCCTGCTTTTTTGAGGCTGCTCCTCAATTCATGATAGTGGAGGAAGGCTCAGACATGCCCACCTTAGCCCCCTTTCTCCTTTTAGTTACAAACTGCCTGTAAGCTTGAATCCAGAATGAGAGACGAGGGCAAGAAGGACCCAGCCTGCCCCAAGCTGTGCTTAGCATTTAGGAGGTTGTCCAGAGCTGCTCT